GCGTTATCGGAGGGCTTACTGTAATTTCAGTACTAATTATTATTTGTTATTATCAATTACAATTTTAACTTGATTGATTGTGTTTCTAATTAGGGTGGTCATATCAAAATACATTTGAATTCTGATATCAAGTGGATGGTGAACCTTGGGTACAAAGCCCTGGAGATGTTGTGGTTCTCAAATCTGCACTTAAGGTCAGTAATCAATTAAAATATATTAATTTGATCTATGTAATGAACTTCACTTACGATCAAAGTATTTTTAAGGCAAATTTAATGTCTTAAAGTCTAAATTGATTGTATTTAACAAAAAGTTTGAGATGGTCATTACACAGAATTTTTTTTCAAAATTTTCCATGTTACTTATTCAAAAATATTATCTATTTATAACAATGTTTGTTAAAATATGCTTCCTTTGAACCATTGGCTTGCAAAAATGATTCATTCAATCGCAACCTTTTAGTTTGTATTGTAGTTTGCAGTAAAGCATGTTTGATCCTGTTTTATAGTATGCTAGTCTAAAACCGTTTTATACCATGAATATTTTCTTGCATGATACAATGATATATGAGAGCAGCTTAGTTATAATAATACAAAAATTGATTATTTATATTAAATTTGAATTATATATAAAGTTTTATTTGAGAAGTTGTTAATAAAAATAAAATAGTTAAATTTCTAATTCAATTGATGTTAATTAATGTTGGACACTTTATATGAAAGTTAAAGCCTTAAAGCAAATAAATAATAGGATCATAACGTGTTACAGTTTGAGTAACTATATATTATCTTATATTTTGCGCCTTAGGCAACAATGCTGAAGAAACTTAAATCGAGGCGTCGTCTGACTGAGCCGTACATTACTCCCGAGAATGGAAATGACAATTGTGATAAATCCTAGAATTTTCAAAAATCCAGGCACAATTTCCTATTGTATTATTTATTTTAAAAACACATCCTTTGTATTGTTTCGCAAATTAAACAGACCGGCCGTATCCTATATTGCAAATGAATCCACATATTTAGCAATTTGGCACTTAATTTACCTAGTTATATATATATTATATTTGTTATGTCACATTCCAATATTAACATCAAACAATCTTGTTCCATTAATCATGTCGCTTTGAATGTAGTTGCTCTAGTAATACATGACCTTTGTAATGCTCACTTCCAAAAAGTATCATTTTTTTAGTATATTTCTAAATTTGTTTCTTAGAAATTCAGATTCTAATGTGTCTGCTCACGATATTGTCAGTAGGACACGTTATGTCAAATTGTTAAATATATTTATTTTTGTTTTTCCTACACTGCCTGCCTGCTCCTAAACTATGTCGCATCATTTAACTGGACATGGCGAACGGATATCAGGCTACGATGTTGAAAAAACTGAAAGGCAAGATGAAACGACGAAATACCGAACCGTTAGGATTGTTGCCGCTCAGTTTAACTGCCGGCGGTTCTAGTCCCCTGGAAGGTAAATCATCGGGATTGTTGTCCGACACGTCGCCAGCCGACCAGGACGACCAAATTCCGGCCAGGGTCTCCTTGGCCTCAACACCTCAAGATCTATCGTTGCACGACAATGACGCACAAGACGACACAGACTTCTGAATTTGGTATTGCGAACGCTTGATTTAAATGACTGACGGTCTTCTGAACGACTTCGAAATGAACCGCTCGTTTCTACATTTAATATTGTACCATATTATAACTCAAAGACGTTACACTCAATCCTTTAAATCAAACGTCGCAATATACCTGTATTATTTTTTTATTTATTTAATATTTATACCGTTATATTTATGACAAGGGCAGGCATTTTAATGTTAATTAGCTTGTGGCTAAACTCTAAATAACGCTAGGAAATTTCAGCAGAAACTAATTTCAGTATGAGTGATAGTTGAGCGCTTGATTGGGTGCTGTTCCGAATGAATGATTGAAATGGAGAATATTAAGGGGCAAGTATACTTAAAATTAGTGTGATTTGGTCACATCTCTTGAATATCTGCTATTGGTCAGTAGCATAATATATTATGTGTGCGAAAAGAATTATAACATTTTATCAAAGTTTTAACGTATATAATTTCATGAATTTGGCTTGCAATGTTCAACACACGCATACAATTACATGAGATTTTTATAAATTGTACATTTTGTCATCCAGTGCAATGAAATTCATATATGTATCATTTTATAAATGATATATAAAAAGGCGTTTCTTAAAATTGCATTTAATTTATAACAAAGTTATTATATAGGATAGAATTCCGCATATAATACAATCAATTTTTATTAGGGAAATTTAGAAACTATTAAAACATTTTGTTTTCCTTCTAGTCAACAGCAGTTATTCTTATATGGGTGTTTAGTGATTTTCATGTTTATATTAATGATCTCAAGATTATTTAATCCAGATGTCTAAACAACTCAATATTTATTTATTCATTTATTTATAAGTCGTAAAAATAATAAATGTTATTTAAGGCTATTGTCAGCTTTAGTTAAATTGGGAAATATCCCATCTATGCACAACAAATACCACTCATGTGCAGTACTTGAATTTGATTGGAAATGCATTAATAAGCAAATCAAATAGTATAATGAACAACTTAATTAATATTGTGATGTTGATAATTATTGCTGATTGGTGGCATTTAATTATTTATTTGCTACCATTCAGTAGTGAATTATTAGTTTTAGATTAAATTTTAAGACGGACCCGGTTGCAGATCATGAACCGTACTGATGCTGATCCCAATGTGCGATCGCAGTGCGAAAAAGCGATAAAATTTTATTAGTGAGAGCACAATTAACCGCTAATGTATAATCGAATCATCGTGAGTAATAAAGATGAAATAGATATCACCGATTTTAAAAATGTATTATGCAATGGACTTTTGTATTCAGATCGGTGATATGTGAACGCGACACGTGATCAATTCGGTGTATATGAATACACACAGTTCACATGTTGGATGTAAACAGACGGCGCCCTGTATTATTGAGATGCAATTTAAACCATCAGATTAATAATCCAATGTATAGGCGCAGAATGGATTTCAATTAATAGCCAAACACACACAATGAAGTTTTAAAATTGATTTGAATTCATTATTTATGTTGATATATAAATATATATTCTGTTAATAGTGCCAAATTCAAAAGGGGCGTTATGGCGCGCTCGGGTAGTCGCGCTTAGGGCGCCGGATCTGTATCGAAAGAAATGTGGACACAATTATCCTTTTCCCTATTGCCTTGTAAATTCCTACATCTGATTCCTATCCTGCAGGGCTGTTGCCGATGTCCGGGGTCGCGGGTCGAGTGGAGTTTGGCCCTCGACCTCGGACCACTTAGGCACACCGGCCCGTTCCCGTCTAAGCCGCCTCGTATTTGGTCGGTGTACGATGCCTCCGAAGCGTCTTTGAAGTGGTCAATGTTCATGGGGCTCAACTGTTCCTATAGGCTCACCGGCCAGTTTGCCTTACGATCAGTAATGAACTAGAATCACTTTAAATACCTTCGCATCAAACAATTTTTAAATAGTACGTAATTTACAATTGTAAACAAAATTGTCATTGTATATACTTATATGTGTATATGTATACACATATATTTATATAGTTATTTATACATATTATATATAATATATATGAATATGTATATATGGTGTTATCGATAAAATTAATTTTCACTAACACATTGTTAGGTTTTTTAATATGTTTTAAACTTCATTTCGCAATTTTATATAAATATGATAGATAAAATGTTGTCACGACAATAGTTGATTTGAATATATATGTAGATAGAGAATGCAATCATTTGGATGATATATTTCCCAAAGTGCAATGTTTATTGCTAAGATATATTTTACATAGGTTCATGTATCTAGTTACATGTATTCAATTTACTATTTCGTGGCAATGAATTAATCAGAGTTATTTTGTGTAATTCTTCAATTTCACTTATAATGAGTATTTGAATATTTTGTTGAAATTACTAAAAATGTTTATCTGTATATGTGATTGAATAGAGTAAAACTAAAATACTTTGTGGATATAATGAGATGAAAATAAATAAATGTAATTAAAAATGATCAGTTTAAATATTTGATATTAATGGTTTTTTATCATTTCAGGAGAGCCACAGGTTTAAAAACCAATATACGATAAAACTATGTAACAGAGGTAGAATGAATGAAGTTCTATGATGATAATAAATTGTTTGAATTGAGAAGAATTAGAAGATAATTTCTAAGTGTTTGAATATGTTCTATACTATAAGCTATTAAAAAACAGTATTTTCATATTGCTATTTATTAATTCTAAATTATTTATTAAATTGTGAGTGAAACACAATGGTGCATACAAATTTTTTATAATTTATTTTTTAAAAAAATGTATGGTATAATTATCTATTCTATTATACCAACCTTATTATTAAAACGAAATTGACAAAGTGATGAAATGGAATACTTTGAGCGATTTCTTTTATTCCCTTCATGCATTTTCTTGTAACTTTTGGGGTAATTTACATATCCCATAGCACTTTTTATTCTTCTATTTGAATGAGCTATCTTTATTGAATCTGCTTTTGCAAATCTACTTTCATTTGGTATACATGATCCTCTTCTTGCATTATTTTTGGATATTGGGTTAGCAAGAGCATTTAAAAGAAAAGTTCTTTTAGGTGTCGAAGGCTATAAATAATGATTTATGTTAACCTTATGCAATAAATAAGTAATATAACATACTTACACATTCTTCAATATTTTTAGAAACCCAACTGTCTCCAAAACATCCATTCATAATTTTTTGCTGTTTTGTTTTACTAGGTTTCTTCACTTTTATATCTTGTTCCTGCTGAGATTTTGTATCAGCGATAACTCTGTTATTAATTCTTGTATAATTTCTATGTATATAAGTCAACAACCAATTGTACCCACTTTCAATATTTTCATTGGGATCTGGTAAACGCACAGCACTGCAAGGTTGTACCAATGTTGGACACTGGTATTTATTGACCATATCTTCAATCCCCAACTTTTCTACAATATCTATTTCATCTAAGGCACCTTCACAATCTTGCTTATTTGCAAAAATAAGTATAGGTTTTCCATTAATTTGTTTATGGCAAACGACTTCATTTAATATGTGTTGACATTCAGCAAGACGTTGCAAATCACTAGAATCAACAACAAATATGAGTCCGTGGGCCTGTAATTTAAATTTCAAATAAATGCATATTTGATTAAATTCAAGTGTAAAATAATATTCACATCTAAATAGTATTTGGGCCAAATGTTTCGGATTTGTTCACTTCCACCTAGTTCGTAAAGAAAAACATTATGTTTATCACAATTTAGGTTCTGCATAGAGAAACCAATTGTCGGTAATACATTAGTGAAATCTTCTTTTCTCAAACGATTAGCAATAACAGTTTTGCCTGCATTATCCAATCCCAATAGCAAGAGAACGACACTATAAAAATAATTATTATTCGGTGATGGTAACTAACCATTAATATAACAAATATATACTCTACTTTTGTTGTGATGTTTTAGATGTAAATCTCATGCACAAATTTCCCATAGCTTATATTTATAAGAGACGAAAAAAAACATTTTTTAATATAAATGTAAACAAATCATTGTTAGGTAAACAAAGCCCATCATATATCGATCGTGACATTTGAATCAAAATATAAACAGAACGCTGCTGTGAACAGTACTGCCACCATAATAATGCTTTGATTTGGTTGTTATGGTGACAGTTGTTATCTATGGCTGTGTTCATTGTTTTGCACAGTTTTGCACAACTTAAGGATTTCATTTTTCATGTTTACCCTAGACAATATAATAATGATGTTTACATTAAGTGAATATTTCATTACCCCATGGTCCACAATAAACCACGTCAAGTAAATGAAAAATTGTTGATTTTCAACTTTAGTTGACCCATAGATAAAAGAAGAGTATATAGATCGCTCTCTCGGGCCATATTTCGTTGCCACATTCCTGTGTTAGTTGAAGCCCCGCGCTACAGATGGCACTAGTCGCCTGAACGGGTGCGTATAAAAAATACTATAGAAATGAACCAAAATTATATGGACCGTTTTAATTCAAAATTTAAAAAAAGAAAATTGAAAAAAAAAAAATTTTGAAGCATTTATTTTTCACAAAACATTCTATTCTACATTATATCTACATAGTTCTCTTTATAAACAAAGCACACATAGCATAGAAATGTACATAAATATACACATTATCCACAATGTATATATATATATAACATTATATATGATTATAATAGATGGTAGTAAGCTGTAAAAACTATGTGCGAAAAGCATAAAATGTACTTAAATGTACACCCTATCCACAATGTATATATATATATACAAATATATATTATATATATATATATATATACATATATATATATATATATATATATATAATATATATATATATATATATATATATACATATATATATATATATATATATATAGTGTGTGTGTAATATCATTTTAGCATATCAGCCTTTCAAGCTGAGCACAAAAAGAATAGAAATGTACATGAATGTATATATTATTTATATATATACATATACATATATAACCACAATTCTTTGATTGATATTGATTCAGATCAATATATAACCAATATATATATATATATATATATATATATATATATATATTTACATATATATTTATTTTGATTAACATTAAGTTACATAATATCTATGATGTACAGTCTCTATTTGGGAATCTTTTCTGCGCTATTGTTAATGTGCATTCAAATGTTTGTTCAAAATGTCATTATTATCATTGTCTTAAAGAAAAACAACAATCATTGATATTATTATAACAGTACTTAATAGTTTTCTTATAGCATCTACAATAAGACATTTTAGAGTAAAGCTATTGACATCTCTTTCAGAATAGTCAAATGCAATAAGCAAGTGCACATTAAGGGTGTTTTATCCCTTTGCTTTTTAGAATTTTATCATTAATCATGATTATACTTTGCCTGTCATTTGACAGTTCCTGAAAATCTATACAATGTGATTCCCTTTATCATCATTAAACAACACAGATAATAATATTTCTTGTAATATCAAAATGAAATTATTAATACTTAAAAACTTTTCCTGTGACATAGCCAAACCTAAATTAACCTTTGCACTAGCTAGAATTTCACCATTAATTGAGAATTTCCTTTCACTTACGATTATATCATTAGTGTTTTTAGTATGTTCTCCAAACTGACTTAATATATAATTACGAGTCGTACTGTTCAATATTAGTGGGAGATCAGCAAAGATTTCAGCACATTTCAGACTTCATTCTTATTGTTTTTTCCTGTGTATTCATTCATCTCATATCAATACTTGTACACTTGTGAATGTGTTTAGTAAACCGTCTAAACATTTTACATTTGAACGTATTTTCCTTTTATACTGCTGAAAAAATCGATGTAGAATTATTAGTTATGATCCTACATTATTAGAACAAGATTAATTTATATTTAGTTATTTAATAACATACCTTTCAGAGAGCTGACAGGAATTCTCTCTGTCTATTTATAACCTTAAAATTTCTAGTATTGATATAGTTAAATGTCTCAATTATTTCTGAATTATTAAACTGTAATGAAAAATCATATCAGAATAGTACAATCAAATGAAAGTAATTCGAAGTATGCATATTAATAAAAGTACTCACTTAGATTGAAAGCCGGCAAATATTATTACTTATTTTACTTTTACTTCGTCGTTTCTCGCTGGAACTACATAATACATGCATTTTTCTTGGTATTTCTTCTTCGTTAAACAATGCACTTCGACAGCTTATTTGTTTTTTACTCTAACAAGCATTTATTATATTGTCTAGGTTATCTCTCCATGAAAAATTTATTACAATGGACGCCATGTTTAATTTAAGTATCTGTCATATGTCAAATTCGATTTCAAAGTGAAAAAAAAAAAAAAAAAAAAAACAAGCGCGACCGGCGGCAGGGGCTCTAACTAAACTCGGGTTACAGACGTTTGTTCCGAGATTACCGGCCATGAGTTGACCTCAGTCTTTCAAATTTGGTACAAGATTGGACAAACTTGACGCCACAAACTAATCTCTCGCAAACTGCGGAATTTGACTTTTGAGTGGTAAGTGTATCATTTTTCAGTCCTTTTTTTCTGTTTAGAACAAACAACTCTAAGCTTACATATTCACATACAAATATCGAAACTTTTGATTCGTTAACGATAGAAAAGCGGTTTACAAAAAAAAAACGGTTCGTTGAGTTAACGCATGTCACTCCATATTTCATCATCGACATAAATACATCATCAATTATGTGTTTATTAGATATTATCTAGAGGGCAAACCTTTATGACGTGTTATTTCATTCTTTATTTTTTTTCGTGGCCTAGAATTCATAAGGTTCAAATGTAACCAAGCCCGGGGTCGCGTAATAAATACATTTTCTCCATGTCCATGCACTCGAGTTTTTTTGCCATTGAACCTTAGAGAATATTAACCCTTTCCACTCGCAAATTCCGGAATTTATATATATTTTGCCGCCGGAGCGGCAGCATCCGAGTCGAAAGGGTTAAGTATATCATTTGACTCATATTACTTTTTAAAAAGGAAACGAAAAAAATGAAATATGTATGTTCCAATGGACCTCTTATCGGTTCCTTGTATTTCATAAATTACATGCATTTTAAAGAATAGAAAGGATTATAAAAAATCAATAAGACGTATAATTTCATCAAAAGTGTCGTTTTTGCGATCGATCATGATACCCTTATTGCTTATTGTCTATGATCATGCCGGTGTTAACGTTTAAGAATTTGATTAATATATTATTTAAAATTATCTCATTACAATCGTTAAAAATTTGATATCGTATAATTCTGATAAATCTTAATTTACAATGATTTTGATGATATTCATTATGCGATACGTTGCAATTCGGCTATCGACATTTCAGAACAATTTCAAAACGATAACCTCTAGTAGTCAGCGTTTGTCAAAAGGTTAAAATAGGTTAGAAACATTATTATGTGGCAAATTGTAAATTTCTAAATTTACAATACAATGTCAATAAGTAATTTTGCGACACACCGAACACGTCAATCATTTATTTTGTTAAAATTTTGACTTACTTGTTAAAGAAACCAAATTGTTCATGTAAGTTACACTATTTTCGTTACTATATTTGATGATAACCAAACTCGTATAATAACGTAATTTTGCTGTGTAGTTAATAATCAAATGCTTAGTTGATATGCTTAGTTCCGGAAGCCCTAAGGATTCCCAGAATGATACTAATGCCGCCAACGATACTTTTGACCAAAGGCCATTTAAGAGAAAACTTACACGATCATCTAATTCCAGTGAAAACTCTGATATGGGAACAGAGGTAAATATGTCTTTATTGTATTGATAAATTTTGCAAGTCTTGTTATTATGATGTTACTTGTATTTGACTTTGCAGGATGTTATATTTTATGAAGGCATTCATGATGAACGACATGACTTGTTGGAGGATTCATCCTGCAACAAATTTTATCAAAATAGACCAAGAACTTTGAAAATGAAGAACAGCTCACCCAATGTAGTAGAGCTGCAATGTGATACGTCTTTTAATCCCAAATCTGTTTTTAGTGAAGAAACAGTATGGGTAATTACTGTACAATTATTTATCCCGTTTCTGCTGGCAGGATTTGGGATGGTTGCTGCCAGTCTAATGTTAGATTTAGTGCAGGTAATTTTTTTGAGTGAGAGAAATGAGAAAATTAAATAATAATTTCTTCATTAGTCTTATGTTGCAGCATTGGCCAGTTTACCAAGATATACCAGAGGTATATATATTAGTACCTGCATTATTAGGCTTGAAAGGAAACTTGGAAATGACTTTGGCCTCCAGACTGTCAACACAAGCTAATTTGGGTCTTATGGACACTATGAAGCAACAAATCAATATGGTTGCAGGCAACTTATCATTAATTCAAGTACTACATTCATTTTCTTGAAAGATAAGCATATCTTTTTTTATAGACTCTAACTTGGCAACCATTATATCTATGTATATATATATATATATATATATATATATATATATATATATATATATATATATATGTGTTTGAAGAAAAACACTAATATCCTGCCTAATTATATTCCATCAAAGTAGAGCATAAAGCAAAACAGTACTAAATGGGGCTTTCTTTAAATGTATTTAATGGGGTTAGGAAAAATTGGACAAGAAAATCAATATTCTTAAAGAAACAAATAAAATTCTAATCAAATCGGATCATTCAGTCTATTCTGTTTACAATTTTTTGCTTTTCTGTGAACAAAGCACATAATGTAGTTTCTGCCTTCGTTCTTTTGAAAGTTGTGGATAAGTATATAAAGAATCTAAAACTTTGGCTTACTATTGAAACTCTGCCAAAGTTTGAATTCAAAGCAGATTTAAGCCTTATATTACTGTACCACTATTGCTACCAAAGACTAAATAACTACCAAAAATATCACTTTTATTTGAATTTATTTTTGCAATTAATCCAATGCCAATAAATAATTGGCAAACTAAGTAATGGAGTATGTAAAACTGTAG